CCGGGGTTACCTCCGGCCCGGGCGCGAGCCGTGCCCCCCGGGAGGCGGCCCCGCGCTCACCCCTGCCCCCCGCCAGGCCTGGCTGAACGAGAAGTTTGCCCCGGAGCTGCTGGAGAGCAAAGCGGAGGTGGTGGAGTGTGTGATGGAGCAGCTGGAGCACATGGTAGGTGGCAGCCTGCGGAGGTCGCCCAGTGCTCCACTGTTGTGGGCGCCGCCTTGCAGGGTCTGCACCACTGGCAGCCCTGGCTCCTTTGTGCAGAGCAGGGGCAAGTGTTCTGCGGGCAGCGAGAACGGCCCACCCGCACTGCTGCCTGTGCCACCGGACTCAGGGCCTGCGCTCGGATTCCTCTGCCAATCCCTGGGCAGGGAGGGACACGGTGCCTCGCATCCCTGGGAGCCTTGTGGCCTGCCCTTTCCCCCGGTTACGCCTTGTCCTGTGCCCACAGGAGTCCAACCTGAAGCGGGTCAAGGGCGTGGACCTGAAGGTCGGCATCCACCGCATGGAGATCGAGCGCATCCGCTACGTGCTCAGCAGCTACCTGCGCTGCCGCCTGGGGAAGGTAACGCCAGGAGGGCAGGGAGCAGGGGCTCCCCCCTTCCTGGTGCTCTGCGCTGGCGGAAGGCACCCCGAGGCTGGGGGCATAGCGCTGCTGCGAGTGGGCCTGGGCAGCGACAGGTCCTGTCAGTGGGCTCCAGACTCTGGGCTGGGGGAGCTCTGACGGTGGCAGCTGACGGTCTTCCTCCCCTGGCAGATCGAGAAGTTCTTCCCCCACGTCCTGGAGAAGGAGAAGTCCCGTGCGGACGGGGACCCTTCCATCCTGTCCCCGGAGGAGTTTGCCTTTGCCAAGGAGTGAGTTGGACAAGGGCGGGTGAGCCTGGCACACACCTCCTCCGCGTGGGGTGCACCTGCATACACCATGCCTGTTCCTAGAGCAGCCTCAGCACCCGCGAGTCTGCTGGGGCCCGACGAAGTGCAGTGAGGCCACAGCTTGGACGGCTCGCCGCCTCCCTCTGGCGTGAGGCAGCGGGATTCCTGCTTAGGCCCAGGGCTTTGAGCAAAGCCAGTGACCCAGAGCGGTTGGGGAGGCGGCATCACTTCTGCTGCTCTGTGCCTGGGCAGAGCCCCTGGCAGTGGAGAGGGGGCTGTGCCCACTGCAGTGGGTGCACTGCAGGAGACTGCATCCATGGGGCAGCCAGCCTGCCGCTCCTGGCGCCATGGGCACGGCTGGGCCCAGGGCTACATAGTGCTGGCCGCTGGCACCTCAGACCAGTTCTGCCGGGGTGGAGGTGCCCATGAGCTACTCATTGCAGGTACACGGCGAACACAGAGAGCTACCTAAAGAGCGTGGCACTGAAGCACATGCCCCCCAACCTGCAGAAGGTGGATCTCCTCCAGGCTGGTACGGGTGTGTGTTGGTGACCTCGGAGGTTGCCAGCACCCAGGGGCTGGGGCTTTGGGAAGCTGCATGTGGCCAAGCACCGCCCTGCTGGTGCGCACTTGGCACGGGGCTGCCGCCCCAGCATGTCTCCTGTCCATGGACATGGGCGAGGGGAACACCACTAAACCCTGGCATCTCAAGGGAGGGGAGGGGCACTGCTCGGAGGGGCTGGTAGGGCCAAGGGCTGGCCCCTCAGCGCCCTGCTTCCCACGCAGTTCCCAAACCCAACCTGGACTCCTTCGTGTTCCTGCGTGTGCTGGAGCGGCAGGAGAACATCCTCGTGGAGCCCGAGACCGACGAGCAGAGGTGGGTTGGGTTGGGTTGGGCCCGGCTGGGGAGAGGGCTCTGGGCAGCCCAGTAGGCACGGCCAGGCCAGGCCCCTGCCACCCTGGTGGGCGCCACAGCCTGCTGCATCCCGCGTGGCCGCAGGCCGCAGGCCTCTGACCAGGTGTCGGCCCTTCAGCGAGTACACCATCGACCTGGAAGAGGGCTCCCAGCACCTGATCCGCTACAAGACCATCGCGCCCCTCGTGGCCTCGGGCGCCGTGCAGCTCATCTAGGGCCGGAGAGCGCCCCAGCGCGGGGGGGGCACCACCCCGCCACGCCCCTCGGGGCCCTGGAAGGGGCCGAGGGACCGCTGGGCACCATGGCCTCGCCTGCACATCATCATCATCGTCATCATTATTTTGTTTTGTTTTGCAAACACCGCGTTAGTCTAATAAAAAACATCACCTCAGCGCTGGCCGAGCTCCGCTTCGTTTTCCCGCCAGCGCCGCGCACGCGCACACGCACACGCACACGCACACGCACACGCGGGGCGCGCTGCACCGCGCGCCACGGCCCGGGGGCGGGGC